GGACGGGGAGGACGAAGGCGCCCGGCCAGCCCCGTGGAGGGACGCCCGGGACCTCCCCGACGAGCCCGACGAGCCCGTGGACAGGCAGCAGTACCTGCGGCAGGAGGTGCTGCGCAGGGCTGAGGCCACGGCTGCCAGCACCAGCAGGTCCCTGACCCTCATGTACGAGTCCGAGAAGGTTGGGGTCGCCTCTTCCGAGGAGCTTGCCCGTCAGCGAGGAGTCCTGGAGCGCACAGAGAAGATGGTGGACAAGATGGACCAAGATTTGAAGATCAGCCAGAAACACATCAATAGCATTAAGAGTGTATTTGGGGGACTTGTCAATTACTTCAAATCCAAACCAGCAGAAACCTCAGCTGAACAGAATGGCACCCTCGTTTCCCAGCCCAACAGCAGATTGAAAGAAGCCATAAGTACAAGTAAAGAACAGGAGGCCAAGTACCAGGCCAGTCACCCAAACCTTAGAAAGCTGGATGATACAGACCCTATCCCCAGAGGGGCTGGTTCTGCTGTGAGTACTGATGCTTACCCGAAGAACCCACACCTTCGAGCCTATCACGAGAAGATTGACAGCAACCTAGATGAGCTGTCCATGGGACTGGGCCGTCTGAAGGACATAGCCCTGGGGATCCAGACGGAAATTGAGGAGCAAGATGACATTCTTGACCGGCTGACAACCAAAGTGGACAAGTTAGATGTCAACATAAAAAGTACAGAAAGAAACGTTCGACAACTCTGAAGACGGATGGATTTCCACTCTGTTGTGATGAAAAAGATTTGAAAGTTCTTTTTTTGAACTTCCAAGAAATTTCATTTACTATTTTAGTATGTAAATTAATGTGTGTTTGCAAATGTTAGATCTTAAGACATTTTGCGGTTATAAGGAAGTGTTTGTTCCACATTTTCCTAGGGTTAACACCTCGCCAAGTTCTTCCAGCAAAATGCTTAGAGTTTTAGTCTGAGCACAATAGCCTGGCCCTGCATATCTTGGGCATTTGACTACCAGATGGGAATAAGAAGAGTTGCATTTCTCACTTTAATGAGCGTATGGAAAGATGCAGACGGAATTTCAGTCTTGCAGCCACGAGCCTCTATTTCTTATTCCTAAGCCTTACCATGAGTCAGAGTGTTAAGGGGGCATGTGAGCCAGTCATTCGGTAGAGGAAGGTCCTTCCCACACCTTTGTTTAGGAGTCGTCATTCACACACATGTACACATGCACAATCACACACACACACACGCACACTCTCCGAACACATCTTATACTTTCATCTCCTGGAAAGGATCAGTGTTAGAATGGGAAATGGAGTGTGTTATGTTCTTTGCTCTTTTGTTGGCAGATGTCCCCACTTCCCTCCAGCCCCCCATCCTTGGCATGCATGTTAGTAGAGACCAGTGCTACTCACTGTGACTCCTGGAAATGTGCAGGGAATTGGCTGAGCCCCTCTTCCCCATGTGCTCTCATCTGGAACTCTCCTTCTGTGATTGGGAACAGTTCTTCCACTGGCTCGAGGCTGCCAGGCTGACCGGCAGGGGCACCCAAAAGAGTGTGTGGGAATGGAGTGTCACACAGATGTGGCTGTGCAGTGGTCTTCCTCCACCCCTCTTGAGAATCACCATTAGGCAGGCCTCAGTGGGACAAATGTTTATTTAGTACCTGGGGTGTCCTGACCTGTCCAGCACTCCCACCCACTCTTCTGCACTTCCTGCAAGGTAACTTGAATCATCACTTACTTCTCTGCCACCCAGTTTTAGGACTGGAACTCTACAAATGATGCTGACTTTGTATAGAAGGATTTGGGTAAGGGGGAAAAAGGCCCAGATACCATTTTAACTGGCCCAGTTCATTTTCTCCTACCGTTTTACAAAAGGAATCATTTAGAAACATCAATTAAAACTTAATTTCTTTGTGTTAGTACATCCAACAAAATAGTTGGAGCCCCAGGCCCTTGTCTTTTTAAAAACCAAAATATTTTAAAGATGGCAAAAGCGATTGATTTTAATAATGAGATAGGTCACTGTTAAAAATAACAGTGCCTTTGACCTTAAAACATGGTCCTGCCCATGTGACCTGTGCCATTTCCCAGTACTTTATAGTCTGCAGCCTATAAACAGTGGTGCTTCAAAGCAAAGGAGACCTCTAAGTGCTGCAACAGCGCATTCATTTTTATGTAGCAATTTGTTTATAAAAGTTTCCATCCCAGGCCAGGTGTGGTGGCTCACACCTGTAATCCCAGCACTTTGGGAGGCCAAAGTGGGTGGATCAGGAGTTTAGGACCAGCCTGACCAAGATGGTGAAACCCTGTCTCTACTAAAAATACAAAAATTAGCCAGACGTGGTGGTGGATGCCTGTAATCCCAGCTACTTGGGAGGTTGAGGCAGAGAATTGCTTGAATCTGTGAGCCAAGATCATGCCACTGCACTCCAGCCTGGGCAATGGAGTGAGACTCCATCTCAAATAAGTAAGTAAGTAAATAAATAAAGTTTCCATCCCATAATGCATGACCTTCCTAAAAATATCCACAGCCTCTATAGGCAGTTTGCAGCTTTCTGTGCTACAAACCGGTCACATCCCAGCCACCTCAGGGATTCTGATCCATGTCGTTAACAACCATCCCAGGGTGTGAAGGCTTGGTTAAAGCTTATCAAACTAGACATTTGTTTATTAGATGAGTTCGGCATTCTTATTCTCTCAATACCTGGTAAGAGGGAAATTTTAAACATAACACTTAACTCAAACAAAACTATTTCATGAGGCTTTCAGCAAAAAGGCTGCTCAAAAGCATGAATCCAGGATGCAGAGCAAAAGGCTTTTGTGCATAGTTCACTTATTGTAATTGTTTCCGGTTCTTCCATGTATGTCATAACTGTTTCTCTTTATCACCATCAGGCATAGACTCATGGAGATTAGTCATTATACCTCAGACCTAAGCTAATTATTTAAAATAGATACACGTAAAGGCCACTGCCAGACATTCTTGGCAGCTGTCCACTTGCATAATGAAATTAGTGATTCAACTGACTTGAAGCATAGTAATATTTTATGCACCTTCCCTATCTTTTGCTGGACTGATGAAGCTAGTCACTCACCCTTCTCTGTTTTTTGTTGTTGTTTTTTTTAACCCCAAGTATATGGAAGGAGAGTTGCCTTCGCTTTTCTGGAAATTTGTCTTCCTCTGACATATTAGGGGGCCTCATTTTGTCCTGTTCTTATTCAGACCCTCTTGTTCTACGGCCTGTGCTGAGGGACTGTCCCTAAGCTACCGGACTGCCACCTGGTCCTTTCTGCCACGTCTTCCTCACTGCCATGCCCAGGAAGGCCTGGTTGCTGATGCTACATTATAAATGAGTTGCTTGCATTTTCACAGAAAGTGAAGGAAGACATAAGACAGCTCCAGAATCTTTTCACATGATGATTGAGATCAACAAAAAAATGCTACCCTCTAGACTAGACCCATCTCATGGAGACAAGCAAAGGTGCTAGGGCTGGGGTGACTGGATGGAATTTGGAACTGCAGACAAAACCAGTTAATTCATCCTTCTTGCCAGATGGGGTCTGTAAGACAGATTTTGATTTCCACAGTTGAGCTGGAAACAAACTGTGCCTTCAAAAAAAAAAAAGTGGTATTTCTAACTTAAGGTTGATTATATGTTAAGTGTACTACTAACTTAAAAAATAGTGCACTCTCAAGGAAGTTTTCTAACATCTAATAATTTGTAACTTAGGGGAGTTGCCTTCTGGATGTCTTTTTTGCATTCTGTAGGAAAGGAAACCTGGATATAACTGAGGTTGCAAGAAATAAAAGTGTCAGTGCATTTAAAAAAAAAAAAAAGAA